TGCTGTCCGGATGACCGTAACACTAAGCGCTGGGCTTCAGAGGTGGTCCCTTCGCCATTGGCTGTGCCGTCGGAGGCCCGTAGGTTCGATGGCCAACAAAAACACAACATCATCCGGACGGAGAGAGTCCCAATCTCGGCGGGTGCCCTCGACGACTCGTCGATAATCTACAGTCAGCTCTGCTCGTACAGTCGATGGTTTGTCGTCTCCGACTAGCGCAGGAACCACTTCAAGTATGCTGTGAAAGAAAGAAACATGTGAGTTTTTGCAGATACGTATTGAGATGGCACCAAACACTTACGAAACTTTAGATGCCGGCAGGGCCATCTTTGAAGAGCCTAAAAAATTGACTTCGCCAGCTTTCGGTGCCTCGGGACGGAGTCGCCGAACCGCGGTCTCAACGTCCTTTCGAATTCCGTAAAAGGCCTCTGATCGGTAAAGCGTCAGAGACCTCCAAAGAAAGTCGCCCACGGAGAGGTATTGCAGGTTCAGTTTCGGCATCGCAAGAGGATGAGTTCCATCATACTTTTCGGCTCGGATAAGGTTGCTTTCGAATAAAGAATTTTCCGTAGGCACCAGGCTGAGGTTTTGGGCGATCTGCTGGAAGGTTTTCCGTCCCTCGTAATTGGAAAGGAGGATCTCGACAAGGAAGCTGTCCTTGTCAAATACTGATTCCAAGCCCGCGGGGTAGCTGGTGCGTAGGCTCAGTAAGCCTACGAGCCGTTCTAGTTCCGCCCGAGGCAGAGGTTCCAGAAGAGCTGCAAGATCTTCCCTCTTGTCGATTGAGCCTACATTAGAGAGCGCGAGAACCAGCAACTTGTCTTGGAAGTGCTTCATGCATACTCTTTGCAGTCGTCCGATCGCAGCGCAATGTTTCTCGTACGCCTCCGTCTGACTTAGTTGTGCTCCGGTTTGGTCATCGATTGTAAAGTACGCATAGTGGCTCAAGAGCACATGCAAGTCCCGGAGAAGGCCATTGTCTTCGTCGTTCAGCATTGGCGAGAGCCGCATAGCCGGCAAGAGATGCAAATCAGCTAGCAGCGTATTGACATATCTTCGAGTCGGCAACTGACTGAGAAGATCTGTGAGGAACTCGACGAATCGCTCACAGTAAAGTATGTGTTCTGTGCAACTTTAGTCGAAATTCCGCAGAATAGGGTGCGACCTCACTTACCAGGCTTCGTGTCTTCATCGTACAATCGTTTCAAGAAGTCCAACACAAGCGTATACAGCCAGGAGCGCTCGAAGCGCAAGCGAGCCTTAGTGACTTCGTCTGCTGCATCATGCCTCTTCGCGGCTGCCCTCCATGCCTTCCTGACATGGGGATATTGCTCCAGCTTCGTCTCCCTGAGCGTGTCTGTCGAGAGATTGTGCCAAATGGATATTGAGACCAACGGCGCGCACTCTTTCCGCACAATAGCGCAGTCCAGGCTCTGGAAGGCTGATATGAGGAATGACAGCAGATGGCTTCTGATGCTCGGGGAGAGGGTGTGATCCAACGTCATGGTCAGAACCCGGCGGAAAAGACCGGAAAACTCGTCTGGTCGATCTTCGAATATTGTCCATGACTCAAGCTGCTCCCTTCGCTTGACGTTCACGAGCAGAACGATCAGGATGACATGGTGGTTGGAAGAGTCGTCGGAGTAGCCAGGCCACAGATAACTATAGAGGTACAGATTAGCTTAGCTGTGACATGATGGAACCAGACATCTCACAAACCTCTCGAGCGTCTGGAGTCCCTCAAGAACAAGCAACGACTTGTCGGGGAAATTATCCCGCTCCAGAACCGACCATATATCCTTTTTTAGTATGTCGTTCTTGACCTTGACGGCCGAGCCCTTCTTTCTGGGTTTCAACCAGTGTTTCCGCGCCAACTGAGAAAACTCATTCTCGCCTTCGATCTCGGAAACAGTAGGTCGATCACCACCGACCGCTGCAGCTTCTGATGGCGCCTGATCCTTGGGCTGGGATGCCGCCCCCTTCTTCTGTCGCTTGGCTGTCGGCATTGTTGAGCTCCTACTGCTCAGACCTGGGCAATGAACTCAACTCGCACTTGCATATCGCGAGCTGAGGATCGGCTTCTATCGCGAGCTTTCGGCTAGATGTTGCGACAAGGTGACGATTGGCGAGACAAGAGGTGATGGCAAATGTCGTTGTTGACGTCTTTGGAAATTTCAGCCTCGTCAAAGTCCCACGCGACCGGGTCGCGACTGGTGGGTTATCTGGCGGTTCAATGGCGTCGATCGTGCAGGGGACTCTGTCAGTAGCCGCCCCACTGCCGGCAAGTTTATGCATTTAAAAGCTGGAAATATACCTCCTAATGTGCTTGCAGAGCTCCACCCTCAACTGGACCTCAATTGGCACATGGTTCTTGTAGCCTCGCCATCCTGCTGTTTCTTGTTCAGACACTGTGATTGCGACACCTTCCACGGCACCTGAACCCTGACATCGCGAAGCGCACGACGCTCTGGAAGCTGCAAAAACCCTAACCAAAGTTGGGAACTTCGCTGATCGCCTTCTCGATATACTTTCTTGGCTAATGTCGGTGCGCCATACCGGCAGCGGCTCAACAACGACCAACTCTCGTTCTCGACATCTGCTGCACCGACAATCACCATGCCAGGAACAATCGTCAGCGATGGGCGCGTGTCCACAGTGGCCGATGTTTCGGCTGTATTGAGCGACCTTCTCGACCGTGCAAGAGGAACGAAACCTCCAACGATCGAGCCAGCGCTTCAAAAGTCCGACCTGGGAAACGACATTGATAGGATAGCCGCCATCTTTGCCGATGGCCGTGGTGCTGAGGCTACTGAGAGCGCGGCGCAACAGAGTCAAGACAAAATCCGACAGTTTGCCGTCATCGAAACCGCTGTCCGCGATCTCTTCAAAACCCTTGTCGTAAGTCGAGCGTCTGTGACCAATCAGGCCCTGTGACTGACGTGTTTCGTAGTTCAACACCAAGATTGAATCCCCGGAGTTTGTGCAGCTCTGGAACCTCTTCGACATCGTTTCTATACTCTCCGATAACGGATCGTGCGACCCTGCGCTGCTCTTCTGGATGGTCGAAGAGCTTCTCGACAGTCAAACGATCGCCGGCTGCCGCAAGATCTTCGATTTCCTCGAGTCCAGGCGCGAAAGGATTACCTCGAGCCATTTTAAGCAGAAGCAACTGGTGATCCTGCGAACTTGCAATGAGCTACTACGCCGTCTTTCTCGCGCTGAAGACACGGCTTTCTGTGGTCGTGTCTTTATCTTCATGTTCCAGAGCTTCCCCCTGGGAGACCGAAGCTCCGTCAATTTGCGCGGCGAATACCACGTGGAAAACGTTACAGCATACGATCAATCAACGGCACCAACGGATCCTGATGCGGACAAGATGGAAGTGGATAAAGATGCGGCTGCTGTACCCGACACGAACAAGCAAAGCTCTCAAGACGGCGCTGTGAACGCTGATGCTCTGTATCCAGTCTTTTGGTCACTTCAGGAAAGTTTCAGTCAGCCCAAGAAGCTGTTTGATATGACGAACCTAGAGGGATTCAAGCAAGGCCTAGAAGCGACGGTCAAGGCGTTCAAAGTGGTCCAGAAAGAGCAGGGCAGCAGACCACCCAAAGCTGCCGACAGTGGTACAGGCGGTACCAAGCGTAAGCGCAACCATGACGACCAGGGAGACCAGTCGAACGCATTCAATCCGAAATACCTCACCAGCCAAGACCTTTTCGAGCTTGAAATCAGCGACCTGTCGTTTCGAAGAAACATTCTGGTCCAGGCATATATCATACTTGAATTTCTGCTCTCACTCTCAGCGAAGGCGAAAGAGAAGCTCGCGACGATCAAAACGCAAAACAAGTCTGTCATGTACATGGACCAGACTTTGAGTGAAGAAGATGTAAGTATTCAAAGACTTATTCTGGTGGTTTGGGATTGGCTGACTGGGTTGCTTAGACGAAATGGGCGAGTGACATGAAAGAGGCTGTGGAGGACGGCCTGAAACAGGGCAGCGACGGACCGCATTACCATCGTATGGTGGAGACAGTGCTGGTTAGGGACCGCAACTGGATACGATGGAAGATGGAGGGCTGCCCTCCGATTGAGCTGCCCCCCCTCTCGCCAGAGACTTGGTCGAAGGCCCAGGATGAGCTTTACTCCATCACAAGGAACAAGCGCATGAAGCCGCCCATGGGCTCGCTGCCTCTGGATTTTATGCAGGACGAGGACGACGAGAAGGCTCTCGACAGACTCAGGGCACCCGATCGATACGAACTTCCTGAGCTTGAGAGTTTCAAGAGGAAGATTGCGGATGACGATTTTGAGATTGAGATGCCGACAAATGACGAGACGAAAGCAGCAGCAATCGAGTCCAAAGCGAGCAAGAGCTGGCGTGCCTTGCGGATAGCGGCAAGGTCGAGACTGGGTCTGTTTGACAAAATCAGCGACCCAGAAAAGATAGACGCCATTTTTGGCGAAATCGAAGACCCTGATGCGGCCCCTGAACCCGAAGCAGCGCCGGAACAGAAGGCCGTCCTCCCCACCGACCAGCGACCCGTTGTCATCTCAGGCCCTCCTGGCGTGGGCAAGTCGGCGACTACTGAGGTTCTGCTCAGCCGTCAACCGGGCGCATTCGCACAGGTCGTTCGCCACACAACGCGCAAACCCCAAGACGGCGAGGTCGCGGGGCGGGATTTCCTTTTCGTTGACAAGCAGACCTTTGACATGCAGCGCGACGGCGACGCTTTGATCGAGTACACCACGATCGACGGAGACGACTACGGCACCAGTCGCAAGACAATTGATGGGATCGTCGCAAGCGGCAAGGTGCCGATCCTGCACATGGACCAGGAGGTAAGTCGCGTCGTCATGGATTTTCCCCCTCCACAATCTCATCAGTCCCTCACGCTAATTCTCCCATCAGGCGACGGAGCAGGCCAGGAGTTTCGGTTTCGAGGCTCGCTTTGTCCTTCTCCTTCCACCAAGCCAGAAGACGGTGGAGGCGCGGCTCACAGCCGCCGGGAAAAGCGAGGACGCCGTTAAGGCCACAGGAGCCGCTGCCGCTCCTTATTTCGCCGAGGGTTCCACACTCAAGGAAGGGTTTGACGAGGTGCTCGTGAATGAGGAGCTCGACGCCACATTCAAGGCCTTAGAGACGTTCATTTACGGAACCGAGCAGGGGGTCTTGGAGCCGGAGAAGACAGACGAGAAGCCTACTGAGGAGACGGAGGTGCAGACAGAAGACAAGTTAAGCGAGGATGCTCCTGCAGCCGCGGCAAACAACAACGCAGATGATGCTGTCATGGCTGACGCGGCGCCGGCAGCCGAGGACGCAGACAAGGCACAGGAAGGTTCAGGGGAGTCCAACCCTTCGCCAGCGACGTAACCAGGGCGAACGGGCCATTTGGATGGGCTATTCAGACAGACTTGGTGTGAAGCGGTGCAACCGCGAAAAGAATAATTGATACCCCCATACAGAGCCGCCCTTCGGGCATTGATCACGGTGACGCGTCATGTGAAACATCATTCATTCAACTCTTGCTCTTTCTGTGTCTCGCCCACGATATCATGCTATGTAAAATCTTGTGATGGCAAATATTTCAGAAACTGGTATGTGTAATGTGGTGATGCCATGCAAACAATCCTCCGCCATACCCATAGCACTATGCTTCCTAACCACTGCGGCACAACGCCTTCTTGATTGGAGGCCGTCGGGAATAGCCGACTTGCTGCCCTAGTCATTATATCCAGAAAGAGAGGTGATTTGACAGTCTTGAAGCCCCCAAAACTGCCAACGTTGCGATATGACCATCGGCGGATTTGGAGACAAGTCGGGACAAGCGGCGTTAACAGCTAATCCCCGCCTGCTTCAGAGGATGCGACACTCTGAGAGAGACCTGGCCGGCCGTCAATAAAGTGGCCCCTGATATATGATCGCCTTAGCCCGTTGATTCTTTGAACAAAAGACTAACGAGGGCCCAGGGGGGGAGGGACAGCAACAGGGCTGCGGTGTAAAACCGCCACAGAGTAAAGAAGGGCAGGGCTGGCTTACCACCTATTGGCTTCCCACTCAAGGACCCAGGCGCAGCAGATTTTAAGTCGTTCGCGAACACTCTGTGTTCCTAATAACCTGTACTTCTCGGGTTCCTTGGCGGGAAGAATGCTGGCAAACCACCAGGGGAACTGGGCTGCGTCAACTGGGCATTCCCCATAGATTGTAAGTATGCGCTGGGCAAGCCAGGGAACACTCTGCTGGCTCATCCTTTGCACAAATGAAACGGCAAAGTCAAGTAAATCCCGGGTAGGCATCCTCGCAAGATCCTCCGTCGTCGTTGTTACTCTGGGTGGTGTCCCCGAGCCACTCTGTTGCGATGTGTTGCTGGCGACACGTTGCAAAGATGAGTGTTGAAGTTCTTGGACTTCAAGCTCTTCTTCTTCCGCGATGCTGACGTCGTCGATGCGATCAATCTTGCCGACCATGTAGCCATCGAGGACCCCATGCCTCACAACCTTGAAACGAGATATTCCGATGGTTTCGATCAAGCTGCGGCCGTCTGGGAAATATTCCGCATTCACAATGCGGAGAAGTGTACCGTACTCAACAAACGGAGCGTCGTCTGCATGCCGTGGTCGTCGCGACATAACCATTCCAAACGTTCGATCACCTTCCAACGCACGTCTTATCATGAGTCGATACCTTGGCTCAAAGATGTGAAGGAACGTTGGCATCATTGGGAATGCCAGCGTGCAGACGAAGACGGGAATGTCAAACTCTCGATGTCGATTCAACGCCTCAGCCGCTAGGGCATCTCCTCGGGTTAGCACGGCATCAGCCCAGAAAGTGTTGATTATCTTCGACAGGCTTTCATTGGATGGGCATGATTGTCGATGCAGTAGAGGGCTGATTGACAAGGCTCTCCTACAGATGGGGCAGTAGAGTGAGTGGTCGAGGACGCGGTGGAGGCATGAACGGCAGAAGGTGTGGCCACAGACCGTCGTCAAAGGATCATAGAAGAGTGCGTAACAGACCTGGCAGTCCATCTCGGTGCGTACCGACTCCTTGACTTGCATAAAGACAGCCTCGTCGACGAGAGCCGCCTCATCGCCAGTCAGGGAAACCTCGGCAAACGACACCTCTGCAGCATACTTCAGCTCGCCCTGTTCGGCCAAGGTGTATGTGGCGACGAGCTTCCCTCCCCTGACCAATGTGGATTTGTGATTCCTCTCCGCCATGGAGCTTAGGCCCGCGACCGCCCTTTCGTCTTCGTCTTGTATCGATACGTTCGTGAGAATGCTGTCCAAGGCCTCGAGGCTTTGGCCCTGCAATATGGCGTTCCTGAAGTGTTCGATTGCTTTGCTCAAAACGACATCCGCGCTGGTATCGCTCAGGGCGTGTTGTTTACCACATTCGGGAAAGGGGCAGTCGAAGCCCTGAAGGCGGGCTGGCGTCGCGGGGTAGGAGATGTGTTCCCTCGTGCGCGACTCTGGCAGGCATTCTCGGCAAAGACTGCGACCACAGGGCAGCGTAACGGGGTCGTTCAGGGGGTAGGAACATTTTCGGCACTGTATCAGACGAATGACGGCGCGCACCTGGTCGGCCAGGATGGGCTTGCTGGTGGTTCCATGTGACTTCTCACCGTCCGCCTCGTGGGCAGGATGGGAGGTCAGGTCGGACGGCCTACTCTCGAAGGCTTCTGGCGTTTCGGAGGACATGAACATAGGCGCGCTGCCAGCGCGGGGCGGCCAAGGCAGGGCGCTGCCAGACGGCGTGGGATTTTCCGGGAGCCTGGCCGGTGTAAAGCAGAGTCAATCCCAAGGGGTTGCCGTAGGAGGACTGCTATCCTTCGACCTGTTGTTGTTGTTGTTGGGAGGGGAGGGACTGCCAGCGTCGTCCAGTCAAGAACGTCGATGTTGTATGTTGTATAAAGAGGCGGAAATATAATGGGAGAGCGGGTTCGTTTTCCGGCGGCGTTTCACGTCCGGTGAAAACAGGCAAGAGTAGCTAGGAATAGACGGAGCTGGCCTGGGGCTGTCGAGTTCATGTATGGGAGACGGGGGGATGATCAATGAGGGTTACACCAGGAGCAGCAGATCCCATGATGCTCGAGGCGTGGGAGACTTGTAGAAGTACAGGGTGTGGAATGATCAAGAAGGGATTACTGGCAGCGTGCCGATGGGACCAGGAGGCAGGTAGTAGCAACCAGCGGCAAAGGGCAGGGTTGCGAGGCGGAAGCATTCGCTTCCAAGGGGTAAAGAGTCGTCATACATAAAGGATGGTTTGCCAATCAGGAGGGTGCTGGTGCTAAAAGCAGGTTGAAAAGCGTCGGGTGCGTGGTGCGCGTGTGGTCTTGGTGCGATAGCGGGCGGGCACCAACTCTGGCGACGGGTGGGTGGGTTGTGCGCTGTCGAATCGACAGTGGCCTGCGGGGGAGTGCATGAGGTCAACGAAGCCAAGTGGATCGGTCTTGGACGAACGAGACTGGCAGCCGTGACCCTGGAGGTACCAGGCCCGACGAGGGAAGGCGTCGGCCGAAGCCAGCATGCCCCGCCAAACGTACTCGGTACTGGTTCAGGGCGAAGCCTTCCAGCAGCCTGCCGCCTGGTGCACTCGCCCACACTGCTGAGCCTACCTACCTACCTAGGTAGATACATGTAGGTCTCATAACCAGGTACCTGAAAGGCCCAGAGCCCGCGCCACAGAAGACTTTCTGGTGCAGGTGTCACCAAGCAGACTGCCGCCTGGGTGACATTTGGGCCGGCCGGACCCTGGTACCCTTCCACCCACCCTGGCGCGTCGAAAGGAAAACCCAGCCTTGCAGCGGCTGTTGACCCTAAACGCACCTAGTGTCCAACGGGTTCCTCAATTTTCATTCTTGGTGAAGCGGGAGAATGCTGGTGATTGGAAAGCTGGTTTACAGTTGCTCGTGCAGATCACGCAATGGCCGGTTTTCTCGCTGTACAGTACCTCGGGTGCCTCCTTTCGTTCAGCTGGCGCCCAGCGCAACGGTTGCCCATACCAGACGGCCAAGGCAACATGTGTGTCACAGGAGGCTGCCAGATATGATTTTCAGGGTCCCTGTGTACAGAGAACCCTTTGCGCTGAGAGGTAACTGATCCCCGAGGTCGTGACGTCATGAGTCCCGTCCGCGCAGCACCATCTCGAATGACTTGGAATTGTTTGCGACAGTGGCCACACGACAATTGCCCTGGTTTGTCATCCCAAGGACTGAAATGCTCCCAGAAGCGTGTGCTATGGGTAGGTAGGTAGTTCGACACAAGTACGGTGTCACCATCTCCGTCGAAGAGCATGTCCGGCTTCCTGGAAGAAGGAAGAAGGGCTTGCATCCACACCTCGTCTGGGACAGGGGGAGCACGCTCGCACCTCACAAAGGCCCGAGACCCGATTCGGACCTCTTCAACAGCGATCCTGGCACGTTACCACGATCTTTCCGATGAACGACGTCCTGCCCATCGGCGCCATCAAGGCCAGCCAGGCTACCTACGATTCGATTCGGGGTCCTACAAAAAAAGAGAGCTGCGCCGCCTCTTGATTCGCCCACTATGCGAGACAGGCCACCAGGGGTCTCTAGAGGTTGATATCCACGCGTCATAAAAGCTGACGCTAGTCACAGCTGCTGGCTGGTGCATACGCCTACACAGACTGCGCCCTTGACAGACCTGAGGCACGAAAAAGGGATCTCTCGATGCATTTAGAATTCCGTCAACCACATCCAAGTGCAGTTGGCACCCGGTCGGGTTCGCTCCCGGTGCGGGCCAAAGTCATGCCTGGGTCCTTTGTTCAGACAGGCTCAGTTTCTTTGGGCAGCCCCAGGCGCCTCAACAGATCCCTGGCAGGAGATCTGTAGATCCAGAGATCTCCGAATGACTTATCCAGTAGGCTGTCTGACCAGTAGGCAGTGTGACCAGTCCCGCCCTCCTTCGCATTGCTGCTCTCACTAGCAGGAAACCCGAGTTCGCAGTGGGGGGTCCCCTCATTGCCATGCTCGACTCACTGGTGATGACCTTCATGTCCTGCTCTTCGCACCACCGCCCCCCAGCCGAATAGGATCTGGTTTCACCCAGTTGCAAGGGTCGAGACGGCCATCTTTAGTCTTGGCAAGGCGCTCCGATTCAATCATGGCCGGACAGCACTACTACATGTACATTGCCAACCCTGCCGTGTAAGCTCCCTACAGAGCGGCGGGTCTTGCCACAAGAAGTATCATGTGCATCAACAATGTCTTTTTCTTCGGGATTTTTCTTTACCACTTACACCATGCGCCTGTATTCTACTTCCAGCAAATGAACACCGGATCATCTGTGCCATTCCATCATGTTTCCCTAAATATCAATCATGATGAAACCATGCCACCAATTCCGTGCGATTCGTCGTACGCACACCTATCGATCGTAGCTAGGATTCACATCATACTAGCCCTGATGAAAGCGAAATGTAGCAGTTTGCAGCGGTAAGTGCCGCAGAGATGTCACGCTTGTTTGCAGTGAAAATGTTGGCGTGTTGGTGTGCTGAAGACACCCCTGTGTTCTCTTTATTCAACCTCCAGCCTCGTGGGTATCCGTTACACAACAATCTTGACTATCCCAGACAGTACACTTCCTCATCCAATCCTTTTCTCAAGAAAACCACACCAATATTACACGGACCACCATGCAACCAAGCAGGACGCGAAGCATGCAACTCACATGCGCCCGCTCGTGTTGTCCCAGCTTGCGCTAAGCACATCGTCCCCGGGCAGCATATGGCTTGCTCAAGGCGAGTCTGCGGCCAATGTTGCCGAAGCAAACGCAGCTACAGAACAGGACGCTCAGCATCCAGATTCCAGTCTCCATCGTCTTCTGGCTGGCAAGGCCGCCGAATGTGAGGGAATCCGAGACCGTCTCGTTCCGAAACGACGACGCCGACGGCGTGGGCACCATCTCGGGGTCAACGCCCATCAGCACGGCGGAACCGATCAGGCCCACTGCGGCGGAGAGCAGGAAGCCCGGTTTGGAGCGGTCGATCAAGTACCACAAGAAGGGGTTGACGAGGGCCAGCGTAAGCGAGAGCTGCAGTGTCGACGCCCACGGAAGACGACGCTGCATGAATTGTTAGCTTGCAACGTCCGTAGGTAAAGTGCGGCCGGGGTTGGACGAACAATGGCAAAGACTATGCCCACAAAGGCTCCGATGCTCCGGACCCCGAGAGCCCAGTCCGTACTTGATCTGCTCGCGTTGTCTGACGTCTCGTCCCGCCCACCGTCGACCACGGCCATGTCACCACCGAACGCTTCCTCCCAAACGCCATCGAACCAGGGCAGCAGAGCACCGAGGAGAACTCCGCAGATGCCCCACAGCGTCAAGTATTTCCAGTTGAAACCAGGCCCGCTGGTCTCATCGGCCGGTAAGGCGGCCAAATGATGCTTGCCGTGTAGCCTCGTCACCAGAGCGCCGTAGCCCATGCCCAGCAAGAAGAGCACGGCGACCCTGGCCGTAACGTAGAGTGCCGACGCAGCAGTGGATGGCGCTGAAGGCGCAGGTCGTGAGGACCGCCTTCGCAGCGTCTGCGGGTGGAACCTGTCCTTCAACAGCTCAAACGTCGTATCGTCTAGACTCTGCCTCTTCACGGGGGTCTGCGACCCAGTCCCCCACGGTGTCTCGAGGTCCGGCCGGATCGACCGGTCCTTGCCGGTGGACGAGGGTGAATAGATGCCGAAGAGGGTCGATGTAGTCAGGTTCACTATGGACTGGGTTCGGCTGATTGATGTACCCGACTCGGAAGGGGTAGCGGCCCGGAAGCCATTGGGTTTGGGCGACAGAAGCCTCGATGTCTCGAAATTCTGTCCCGGGGCTGGACTGGGCGAGCTGGACACGCCATCAGAGGGGGGTGTCGGGCTCGTAAAGTTTATGTCGAACGGGCGTCGAGGGATGGGCCTTAGGAGAGGGGGCCCGTCTTCAGACATGGTTTGGAGGATTCGAGAGGGCACGTTGCGATCGGTAGCTGGTCGGGAGGAAGCTGTTCGTGTAGATGGTTTCGGAAATGTCGGGAAAATAGACTGACAGCGTTCGTGGGGCGGAGCGGTAAATAACAATAATAAGAAGAAATTGTTGAGGATCAGTTGCCTAGGTACACGATTGAAGGTGTGTCTTGAATTGGATAGACCCTGGTTTCGACGGTGGAATTCGTGAGGGGGAGAGGTGCAGCACGTGCAAGCTTCGGAGCCTTCGAATGTGGAGGGGTGTAGATAGATACCGAGATTTCACGTCGTTTAGCGAGGGAGGCTGAGGTTTGTGGTCTTAAATATTGTCGAACTATGCGCAAGCAAAGACTGTTCTGCGCCGCTCCGTCGCATCTGTCACACGGATCTGAAGAGAGGGGAAGCTGAAGGTAAGGTAGTGAGCTTGTGGAGGACGAGAGAAACGATGGAGGCAGAGAGGGCTGAAGCGTGACCAGAAGGGCGACAAGGCATTGGGAACTACGGAGCGTGGTCCCCAGCAAACACGAAGAGCCGTCCAGTGAGAGGCGCTGCATTTGGAGCTGGGTGCATTAGTCGCATGAGCTTCAATCACATGCTCCCGCCGTCCTTCCACCCCCCCATTCGGGATGGGATCGTCGAGACTGGCGAACGGCGAACAGCAACGTACGTGGAATTCGTGCAGGTAGTGAGGAACACCTGTATCTCGCTACGAGCACCTACTGGCCCACGGGTTTCTGCAATGCTACATCATAAGCGCTAACATTATCCCGAAGCGTTTCTTCCCACATAACTGGTCGGAAGAGGTTCAGAACAGGCTTCTTTGGCATCGTGATTTGTCGCGCCCAGCTATTGTTACCCCACATTGCCGAATAAGAAACGCGAGGGAGGGGTTGGGGAAGCCCGTACGCTTACGGAGATGCATATCTGCACCTCGTGGGCCGATCCATGCGCCTTTGTGTTGAGGCTCCGGATGAACATCACCTCAACGTTCTGTTTCGGCCCGTCACAGCTTTGGAATCATTCTGGGTATCAGATCTATTTCATGCCTTTCTGCATCAGGCTTCTTCCTCATCGCTTTCTGCCGCGTCTTCCTTCTCGAGCTCCTGCATCAATTCCTCATCGCTGTCCACAACATCGTCCGGTCGGGGTATCATGGCAAAGGCCGCGGTACAGGTGATCCTGTTGTTCGTGTCGTAGCTTCCCACGAGCGAGCCCAGCTGCACCGTCTTGTCGGCTGTCTCGCTCGCCTTGAGCTCCTTTTCTGACACTTTCCAAAGACGAATGTTCCCGTCACTGCTACCGCAGACGAGATAGAAGACAGTGCCCTGTGTCTCCTCCCTCTTGATGATGTTGAAGTCCTTGACCCGTCCTGTGACGCCTGCATCCTTGCCGCCGATCTGAGCAACCAGCTTCGCCGTCGGCAGTTCCTTCACCTTCGCATCCGCCGTCCTCTCAGGTTGCGTCAAGTCGGCCTCCTTGGTCGAGCAGATGACTATGCGCCCATCCTCAGTGGCCACAGCAATTAGAGACGACTCGCTCTCATCGCTCATGGCTACGTACTCAAAGTTGTGAATCTTGACGCGAGAGTCCGGCATGACCCGGCAGCGGGGCAAGCTGTCCATACCGAACACGGCAATGTTTCGGTCGAATCCCACGGCAAACTCCTCGCAGTCCTGCCCGCCGACGGCCGCGCCCCAAACTACCTTCCTCCCCTCACCGGACGAGTGCCTGCCCTCGCCGACGTCTTGCAGCAGATCTCTGCTGAAGTTGAGGACTGCAGCCTTCTTTCCGGTCAAGAGATTCCACAGCCGCATGCATCGCTCTCCTTTGCTGACGCTGATGAGCAGCTTCATGCTCGGGTGCACGGCGAAGTCGTTGACACCGGCGGGGGTGCCGCCAAGGGGAGCCGTGTCGCCGCTGGGCCTGCCCTGCGCCTTCGGTATTGGTGCCTTGATGGTGCTCATGGGCTCCCAATTCCTCGTCTTGGCGACGGCAATGGTCGAATCCTCGCTGGCTGAGATGAGTTTGGAGCGCGTGGGGAACACAAGCTTGGTGACGGTTGAGTCGTGGGGGTTGTAGGCGCCCAGCTCGCGGTTCTTCGAGTTCTCGAGAATGGGGTGGAGAGCAGCTGACGCCATTTCGTCCCCATCTCGCCGCTTGGGAGGGTGAGCGGAGATGTTGTAAATGTTGATCTTGGGGTCGGTGCTCCCAGACGCCAGCAGCACCTTTTGCTCCTGGCCGGGAATGGGGGCCGAGGGGGCGGACAGGGCGACGCAGCGGATTGCCGATGGATGCGCCGTGAACAGGAACGTGTCAACAAAGCTTGCCTGGCCCTGGGGCTTGACAGTGGCGATGAGGCCGTGGAGAACTCGGTCGTAGGAACCGGTGACAATCTGGAGGAAGAATTCTTCGTCCGCGATTGCCTTCTTGGGGTGCGTCTGTGACTTTGGTGGGATGGCCGGCTTCGTCTTCTTTGTCGGCTTCGTTTCGCTGCCCCGTATACTGGCGGCGGCGACCTCTGAAATCTTTCGTTTCGCCATTTCGGAGACGACTGTGTGCCAGGTATCCGTGGTGTAGCCACAAAGTTTCGTCTGCAGTATGAGGATGAGGGAGGGCCTTGTTCGTGGATCTGTATTGAAGTCGACTTTCCGAAAAGAAAATTTACCAGCTTTATCTAATCGATAAGAAATCCATCCCCAGCCTGGCCCGTTGTATTGGGGGAAGGGCACCTCAAAAAAGACAAGCTTGACAGGGTGGGATTCAAGCGGGGTGGATGGGTTTAGCTTCGAAATAGCACATGTTGAATAGGGGGGGGGGGCAGAATATGCAAAGAACATGTACCTCTATATCGGATAAAGGTGTCCCACTGTGGCGGTCTGATCTGAAAGGCAGCAGCACTGCCTTCCTGCCTGGAGAGGGCGCTATGGGGCTGACTGGTTGGTAGGTAGTACGGGGGCCGTTCACCCGCCCCTCAAGGACTCTGGGGCACTGCCTAGCAAGACCGTGCACCGCTGTGTAGGTACCTTACCTTGGCTGCCCTGGCCAATGTTTATGGACAGACCTACGTATGCGCCATCTTGGGATTTCCCAGTTCAACGGACCTTGACTTCCCACGCCGCTCCATCAGTTGCTGGAGACCAAGATACTCTTCCTTTCCTTTCGACAATGCCTTGTCGGTAGCCCTACGAACCCCTTGCGGCTGTTTACCGTGTTGTAGCTACACATCATAACCCAGTTTCACCCATCTCCGAACTCGCATGAGACCCCTCCTCGAGCCTCCCTCCAGCACATCGCATCACCTCGATTGATCGATCGAACCGACACTTGTCAAACCTCTGCCTCCTGCGACGAGCTTGCTGCCTGCCACCGCAATGGCCTCCTACGGCCATCACGCGGCCGCGGCTGCACCCCGACCCGCGCAACCTGCCAACTACCCAGTTCCCGTGCCAGGACACGCCCCAGCAGCCCCAGCTGGTACCTTCGCCCCTGGTACCAAGATTCAGGTCGGCTCCCATCGCGTCGTCATACAGAAATACCTCTCCGAAGGTGGCTTTGCCCATGTCTATCTCGTCAAGCTCCCCAAGCCTCTCGACGGTACGGACCTGGCTGTCCTCAAGCGCGTTGCTGTGCCTGACAAGGAGGCGCTTCGCTCCATGCGCATCGAGGTCGAGACGATGAAAAGGCTCAAGGGTCACCGCATGATCGTCACATATATTGACTCGCACGCCTCTGAGCTTCGAGGTGGTGGCTTCGAGGTTTTTCTCCTCATGGAGTACTGCAATGGCGGTGGCTTGATTGACTTCATGAACACCCGGCTCCAACACCGGCTGACCGAGCCCGAGATCCTCCACATCTTCACCGACGTGGCGGAAGGCGTTGCCTGCATGCACTACCTAAAACCTCCGCTCTTGCATCGCGATCTCAAAGTAGAAAACGTCTTGATTCTGAGCCAGGGGTCTAAGAAGAGGTTCAAACTTTGCGATTTCGGCTCAGCAGCACCTCCAAAGCCCGCACCCCAGACAGTTGTCGAGTGTAGGCTCCTGGACGAGGATGTGCAGAAGCACACAACCCTGCAATACCGGAGCCCGGAGATGATTGACGTCTACAGAAAACAACCCATTGACGAAAAGTCGGATATTTGGGCCCTCGGTGTCTTGTTGTATAAGCTGTGCTACTACACGACCCCCTTCGAAGACCAAGGCCAATTGGCCATCTTGAACGCAAGCTTCCGGTTTCATAGTCACCCAGTCTTCTCTGACAGGCTGAAAAAGCTCATAGGTATGGTCATATCGGTACGCAAGGAATTGTAACTCACCGAAAACCAGCTTCCATGTTGCGGGAAAATCAGCAGTCGAGGCCCAACGTCTATCAGGTATTACGAGAGGCTTGCGCCATGCAAGGTCGCGAGGTTCCGATACATGATGTGAGTCCATTGGTTTTTCCCATGCATCTACATTTGCCAATGCAATACAGATCTACGCCGCCAGGGCGCAATCCGAGCCCCGACGCAGCGACAAACCGCAGCTGGAAAAGTCAACGCCTCCAGTTGTTGGTGCTGTCTTCTCCCCACCACCGAAAGAGACGCAAACAATCCCTGAGGTGGTTCCTATGAGGAGGGGCAGGCTTCCGGTAGCCTCTACGCAATCAGCCTCTCAGTCTCAACGACCAAGTCCGTCGCCTGGTCGTGTCACCAGCGGCGATCCATTCGCTGCTCTCGACGCCAAAACGAACAATAGCACCGGGGGAGGCGATGAGCTTTCGTCTCGCTTTCCCACACTTGATCAATTTTCCCTCCTTCACAACAACGGTGGAGGGAGCTTTGACTTCACCTCTCCGACAACACCCCCAGCTGCACAGCAGAGTGATCTCAAACAGAAGGTTACCGAACACCTGGCGGACGAGGCTTTCGCAAAGCCCTCCAGCCCCCCTGAAGCGTCAGAGTCCATACGCTCGCACACCGTAGCACAGCCGGTTGCGCTTACGCAACCTCCTGCCAGTGACGAATATCCTGCTACAGGTACCGTCGGCTTGAAGAAAACAGCATCTGCTCCACCGAAGCCGTCTGAGATGAGCCGAGCATCAGCGATCATAACTCAGAATCCCGAACTGCGGGCAATCTCCTCGCAGTCCACGCAAAAGTATGTTTCAACCGGCACCATGACATCTACACCACCGCCATCCGACAAGGCGCGAGAGCCACCAGCGATCTGGCGAGTACCATCTACCGATCACCATCGTTCTACAAGTCTACCACGTAAACCCGACGACAGTCATCGTGCAGAGGCTCGTGAGGGTGGAAATTCTTCCGGACCACTGTCTCGTCAAAACTCTTATCGATCTCACACACGCCATCCTTCGTCATCTCGCCCATCTTTGGAAGGGGGTCGCCCCAGCGCAGATCATCTGGGAACATCTTTACAGCCAAGAATGGCGATCGGACGCCAACGTCCAGCCAGCGCACACCTCGAATCTAGCATAGATTACCTGCGCGAGCGGCAAATGGCTTCAAAGCCAAGTGGATCGCCAAGTATTCCTTCGACCAGGTTACCAGAACGGCCTGCCGATAAATCGTCTTCTCCCGCGCTGATTAGCCTTGGGCCGGAGGAAGAGACTAACATCGAATCAAACGTCGAATTCTTGCGCAGCATGGAGGACTCAAAGAAAGATCGCGGCTCGTGGCACGGAAAGAAGAGCAGTGTCAGCTCGACCTCCGGCTCTCGACACATCCTTGCTGGCAAGTTCGGAGACGCTTTCAAGATCTTTGAGGGGAAACACTCGACGCCGGCAGTTCGGACTCCGTCTCCTTTGAAGGAACACGACCGCCGCGATCTGACCCCCATTGCGGGTTCCGAGGCTACCGACGGGCGGAGTGATGACGGGCAAGCTCAGGAAGACCAGGATGACATGACTCCCGAGATGCGGCGTGACCTGGAGCGACAGCGACTGGCGGAGGAAGAGCGACGAGTCGAACTCGCCCAAGCTGAATACCGCCAGCGCATCGCCAGCAAGCCCCTAGGTGTGACGGGACGCCCAACACCGCCGCCCAAGCCCGCCAGCGGCTCATCAAGAGCCGTCAGCATTCAGAACCGAGTGCAGAGCTTGCTGGACGAAGGTCAGAAGACCTCATCGCAAGTACAGCGTTCGGCTCAAGGGTACGGCGTCTACTCCGACGCGGCCACTGCCGCTAGTCGGGTCGACAAACAATTGCCGGAACTGCCACGGAAGCCAGTCACCACCAAGTTTCGGTCCACTCCCCCACCGATCAGCTCTCAAGACATTGTCGTCAACAAGCTGAGGCATCCAGCCAGCGAGCCTCTGCCGATCAACAGTCGGCCCATGACGGGGAACAAGCCGCCGGCGCCCCGCAAGCCTGAACACCTCAACAGCGTGCCGACAGGGGGTGCCGCCGCCTCTCCGCCGAAACGGTCCCAGCTGGCAGCTAACGAGCAGCTCGTGGGCGCGGACATCCCCGGCCGCCCGGTGCTGGACATGACGGCCAGGGAGAAGGATGACTACGTCGAGGACTTCACGAAGCGGTTCCCCAGCCTCAGCGCCATCGAGATGGTGGAGCGGGACATAGACGCCGGGCCGCGCGAACGGCCTGGGAGGTAGACGCTCCTGCGCCGTCGCGGTACGAGTCTGGGCTTGTTGGAGGGTCTTTGGCAACACGATGAGTAGCAGGCGCAGTCAACGCAATCAATTCCCACCCATGGCATGAGCACGTGTAATTCTCGTGACTAGAAGCACAAAACTAGTGATGTAGATTCAATGTGTAAATTCTTCAGTCGAGCAAGAAGTTACTTCTTCTCCTCAGGCTCGGGAGCCGTACTGAACCATGTCAGGGAAGGTCACGCCCTCCATCACTGGCGTGGGAAGGATCTCCACAGCTCCCCTCTCATACAGACAGAACCAAACCGCATCAGCATTGATGACCTCGAGCGCCTCGCGTGCATCGTTGTCGTGCTCCAGTCGATCCGCCAGCAGCGCCAGCACGCCGTCGTAAATTTCATCCTCGATCCGCACGTGACGTACAATGGCGATGAGTAGCCGAACCACAGCCTCCCACGTCTGTGCCGCCGACGCAAAACGGCCCAGACCGCCGCCTGAGGATGGCGAAGACCGCGAAATGTCTTTCGTAACTGTAGTCTTCATCTCACGCGTGCCACCTGCACGGGCTGGTACGACGACGTCGTGAATGCGCGTGACGTCGTGGAGAAGGGCGGCCTTTCCGCGGACCTGGCCCTGGCCGTGGCCCTGGCGAGACTGGTTGTCGAGAGCCTCTTGTTTCTTTTTTTGACACCACTTGTGGAGAGCATCCGACCACTCCGTCTTGATGCGGGACGCGAGGAAGTCACCCGCCGTAGCACACAGGATGGCGAGGGTGTCGCATGTGGCGATGACGATGAAAGATTCGGCGTCATACAGGCGGGCGACTACGACGGGCCAGACGGTGTTGATGAGGGGCAGAAATGAGTCTTCGTCGGCGGCGAGAGCCGGCGCGACTGTGATGAGGAGGTCGAGGAGCGACTTGCGGAGGGTTGGGGTCGGGGAGGTCAGATAGTGCTGTGTTAGTGTTGCTACCTTCTCCAGGAGGATATACGTTGGAGTCTTTGGGGGCCTCTCCTGTTCGACTTCGCCGCCGCCGGCTTCGTCATCGTCTTCCTGCTTCTCATTTTCAGGGCCCCAAGGTCGAGGAGGGTGGCCGTAAACCGTGCTGTTCTCTTCATCTTGTTGTTGTAGTTTCTTCCGTTCAGCGCGCCGATCGAGGTAGGCGATAATGTCATCGATGTCGGTCGGTCTGGGCCGCCGCTTCATGTGGTCCGATGAGCCGTTTTGGCGACCCTCGAGGAGGAGTCTGTCAGATCTGACGCCCTGCTCAACAACTTCCTTGAGAACGGCAAAGAGACTCTCAACGAAGACAGGGTAGCCGTGATAATTATCGAGT